TCCAGCGGGCTTAAGGCTTTTCATCTTTAATTATTTCTTATGCGCTCCTTAAATTATTATAATAATCTACATTTCATACAAGATGTCCCGAAAGTAGAGGAAAATTTTGAAAAGGGCGATCGGAATACCTCAAGATCTAAAAAAAATGGTATACATAAACTATGGTTATATTTTTCTCAGAAAATTAAGAAATTTAAGCTTAGTGTTTTAAAATAAATACGCGTTTTTTTGTTGGGAGGGGAGGAGGAGGTTCAGCCCGAAAGCTTTTTTTCATATATACAACTATAACTTAAAAATACTAACTACCTGAAATGGCGTTTAGGTCATTATTGAAGTCCTATTAATTATAATTACACGAACAATAATAATTTAAGTGATAATTTTTAAATATTTTATTCCATAAATGGTCACATTTTACCATTTTGGAGGTCTTCAGGCAGAAAGACCTACCCCCTCCCGCGTTGATCCGCCAGTGCTTTTCAGTAAACTGAAATGAATATAGAGTTCTCCATAGTTGAAGCAATGTAAACAGAACGCTAAACAAAGCAAAGTTACAAAGCATAAATTATTCGCAATTTTTTTATCACTTTAAAGTTCCTCCTTTAATAACCTCCAAGTCCATTAATTAAGTTTATAACGAAATAATTAATATTAACTAATTACTATTTACGTTTCCAGAAAAACAATTCAAGCAACCGGCAGGTTTCTTTATATTAAACGCTGACTATAGGCTGAGTAGATTTCAGTTAATCGATTATAAATACGGACCATTTTCTATAACTTTTGAGATTTTGGTAAAAAAAGATTTCATTATCACTTTAGATAAGGGGCCTCAAACTTTTTTGCCCGAGGTCACATTGAGAACTCCAACAAGTCCCGCAGACGGCGTTGAAGCCTCTAATAGATGATAAAAATATTCCACACCTATTGCTCCAGACTCAAAATATATCATATAGATTACAAAAAAAAATAAATTTCTGTCATCTTCTTTCCAGACGCCTTGGAGGGTTGTCAGGCATTGTGTTGGATGGAAGGTTACCAACTTTTGGGAGGATTGGGGTGACCAAAGAGTTTGGAATGAAAAGAGTTATATCTAGTTCGAGCCAAGTCTTCCACAAGAGGAATGTTGAGGTCTTTATGAATAATTTTATTTGTTACATAATAAGGAGCATTTAGGGTTTTACGGAGGATTTTGGATTGTAAGGATTGGATACGGGAAGAATTTGATGTTTTTGTAGAACCCCAAAGCTCATTTCTGATTTTTAAAAAGTATTACACAAGAATTAATATTGTTGTTGATTGCAAATATTTTGTTTAAAAAAAAACTGGTCAGAAAATGATTTTGATCAAAAATAAAAATTACTCTTAATAAAAAGCATCAAATGATGTTTAAAAATTACATATAAAAATTTTTATTTTATTTGTTTTTTTTTTAATTAACAATTTCAAACCCTGAATCAAACTTTACTAAAATGTCGGATAAACAAGTAAAGTAAATCTGTTAAAGGAACCACAAATTGTTATTAAATTATACAGAAAGTAAAATTTATTGAAATTCGCATTTATAGACCCTGTCATTAGTGTCTATCTTGTCCTATCCGGAACAGTCGAACAAATGTAAAATAAATGGATCTCCTATGAGTTTGTGGTATGCAGTTGCACATTCAGAATATTTTACCATTTTTATTATTTTATATTCAGTAAAAAAAAACTTACCAAAGGCTATAGATCTTTGGTATTTTGAGATTCGAAAATTACTTCATAGTGTTCTGCAACTCAATTTCTGATCACAACTTTACTCAATATTGACGAACAGTTTTTTATTCATAATTATGATTTACATTGCCCACTTAGACATAAATCTTACGCTGAATAGGACGTACTGATCTATCGTGAGAAATATTAAATTTGTCATATATTCCCATGCGTCATCTTACCCCGCCTTCCTCAATAAGACGATTTATGTTTCACAGATGTCGCTTATACGTTAAATAAATTAAGAGAAGACTAGCTATCTAACGTGAAATTTCTCAATGGGGTACACTAGTAATTACTATCATTGAAAATAAATATTCTTTTAGAAAATTAATATAAATATAAGAGTATAAACAATTATTGTAGTAAAAAAACTAAACTATGTGCCTACGATACCACACGATAGAAGTGAAAACAACCAAAACGTGAGATTAATAATATGGAATATAAATTATAAAAAATAGCACAAAAGAGGATGAAATACTAAATAATTCCCTCACTTCCAGTATACAGGTCCGATTTTTAGTTTCTGACATATTTTAATCCATATCTCCCATAAAACTCGTTATCATTTAGTTCTCGACACTATGTTTTCCTTTTCGTATTTCTAGCATGGCGTCGTGTTAAGCTGCAATTTTGAATAATATTTCATTACTGAGATGAAGAAATACTGAACTATTCCCTCTCTTACAGTGTGTACGTCCGATTTTCAGTTTTTGAGATATTTTATTCCATATGCAAAAATACTATAATTAGTCAACTGCAGCCGACTTTACCCAAGCATTACACATCGGAGATATGATGACTCAATCTAATTCACTCTGCACAAAGTATAAAACGCGTCTAAAGAAGTCACTTAAGAAAAAAAAAATGCTAATGGAACCTATAGGTTCTATTACGATAATAACAACATTTATAAAATAACTAGTTCCCCTCCAATGAACCCTATCAAAACATAAATTCACAGTATCTCTATCAACGCCTCGCTCTATATACATTATAAAAAAAAAAACGTTCCAAAAGTTTAAACCAAAGTTATTAACCTATTTATATGCTTGTTTATAAATCATATAGAAGTTCTTAATGACATTCTATAGCAGGTGATTTTAGTCAAATTTTCCAACGAAGATTTTTTGAAATTGAAATAGATTTCTATTTGTGTGAAAAATTATGTAATTGATATACTTTTACACAATGGTACTTGTATTTTCACAAAAAAAAAAATACGATACATTATTAAAAAGTTTGAATTTTTTTTTTCTTAGACTTAAAATCTATTTTAGTAAATTATTATAAAAATGCACTTTTTATTCATCAAAAATATACATAGTTAAATAATAATACTTTAAATAAAGTTATCATGTAAGGTGATAACTAACGTTTGTTTTTTACACAGATGTCATTTGTGGAAATTTATTAATATCGTTTTAAGTCACTAATTAAATGATGCCTGAAAAGAAATCCAGCAATAGTACGATTTCATTTTTATTTGTTTAAAATTTCGAATTCCCAGTCCGCTGGTGTTCCTCAAGGTAGTATCCTAGGTCCTATCCTCTACAGTTTATACAGCTGACATCCCTACCTGTCCCAACACTGTCATCACCACATATGCCGATGACACATGTATCCTATCAGTAAATAATGACGCAACAATTGCATCCCAAATGCTTCAATCACACATCATAAATCTAGAAGAATGGTATCAAAACTGGAGAATTAAAATAAACTCCAATAAATCCCACCAAATTACCTTTACCCTTCGTCGTATACCAACAACTTCCTGTCCTACAGTTTCCTTTAACAATACTCCACTTATCCCTGTTGAGCAAATCCGATACCTAGGACTCCACCTGGACAAACGACTAACTTGGAATCCTCATACTAGACTGAAACGACAAGAAACCGTTCGACGTTTCCGATTACTTCAGCACTTACTAGACAAACGTTCTAATCGTCCAATTAATTACAAAAGACTCATATACTTGACTATAATAAGGCCTATTTGGACTTACGGAGTTGAGCTATGGGGCTCCATTAAACCATCGAATTCCTCTCGTATCCAATCCTTACAATCCAAAATCCTTCGTAAAATCCTCAATGCTCCCTACTTTGTTACAAATAAAACCATCTATAATGACCTTAATGTTCCTTTTGTTTCAGATCTGGCCCAATCCAGATACTTATCCTTCCATAATAAACTTCAGAATCATCCCAACCCTCTCGTTTCTAACCTTGCTTCCTCTTCAAATTCAAGATAACCCTCCAAGACGTCTGAAAAGAAGATGGCCCCGTGATCTCCTAATGTAAACATATCATTAGAGTGCTACCATAGGGTAGTTACTCAGCAAGTGTTTTTCATGTCATTATATACATTATGTTCTAATTTACTAGATGTATTTATTTAATACAGTTGTAAATGTCTTTAAGAAATATAAAAAAATAAAAATTTCGAATCATTCTAGATTTTGTTTACAAACACAACTTAAAATTGTATTTCTATTTGAAGAAAGTTACTATGAAGTAAACTAAATAAATAATTTTTGTGTTATATCTTACTATGAAACAGAAAACATGACCGCTTTAAGAAAACACAAAACTCGACTTTTCTCTAACTCATTTTTGGATAAGAATCGTACCATGCATTAAATGAATTTTTTGGTTAGAATTTTTTTCCAGAACAACCTCCCGGAGTTTTATATATATATATAAAACTCCGAACTCCGGGAGGTTGTTCTAGAAAAAAAGAAAAAAAAAAAAAAAAATATATATATATATATATATATATATATATATATATATATATATATATATATATATATATAAAAACAACACCTGCCAATGTTGTATAGTTGACACTCGGCCCCCCACCTTCATCAGCTCACTGACCTAACGTTTCAATTAGAAAGTTGTTTGTTCTTGAAATGGGACAAATTGAATGGATTATAATCTAATCAAGAAAAAAAATGTACAACATGGAATAAAAGTCTGAATTAGTAGCCCATTAGTTTTTGATTAAAAGTAAAAAAAAAAAAAAATCTTCTATTAATAGTTTTCTTTAAAAAAGAGAATAATAGGTATAAAAATAGTAAAAATGTTTTAAAACTATGTCTATCGAAATATAATACCTAAAAATGAGCATTTATTTATTCCATACATGTGTATAAATTCAATTGTTTTACTATTGAATTTTCTAATGATATAGATTTATTTATTTTTTAATTAGACTGCGAGGAACAGCAGCTGAGATGGTTCGGCCATGTTGTTACATTAGAAGAGGAAAGATTGGCAAAAGTTGGAAGCATAGATGGGAGGGCAGAGCCCAAGAGGAAGACCAAGGAAGACATGAAAAAGCACCACCAGAGAAACCTTTAACAGAAGAGGGCTGGAAAGGGGAAAGAAAAGGAGGATGGTCGAAGACAAAGATTCTTGGATCATGCTCTACCTAACGGTTCCTCACACTGCTGTGCGGTTAAAGAGAAGATTAAATAACGAAAAATTCAACAGACTGGGGTTAAAAAAAAATGCAAAAAACATCAATCACGCTAATAATATATACCTACAATGGCGTTTTATTTTTATTATATATTTTAACCTTTTTTAATATTACGATCGTCATCACCGTCATTTTTTTCCTATTCCTAAGCTATTAAGTATTAATATTATACACAATTATTCATATTAAGGAGTGCGATAGCTCAGTGTGTATTGTACTATTCTCCTACGCTATTGGTAGAAGCGGTACGAGTCCGGTTGATTATGAATTATTCTATCAAGACGGTGGATCGACCCAAGTTCTGGAGTCTCTTTTGGCACACAGTCATTCATTATAAAAATGATAATCTTAGTTAAATAACTTATTAATCTAATTGTACAACCATTGGCATAAAAACAGTACAAAAGTTAAATAGCGTTATGATTGAGTAACAGAAGATTTTAAAAACAAGTAATTTGATGTCATATAAATGCAAAAGCCCTCAATTTTTGAATAGATTTATTAAAACTAGTCTTCACCGAGTGATCGAAATTCAACAATAATCAATATTGAAAATTTAAGAAAAACATTCATAAATTCGCATGTTTCCAACATTTTGTTTTTCAGTTGTTGTAAATTCGATCAATGTCTACCTAATAATATACCCTATACTGAATTATTCACAAATTTCACTGAAAACGTGTATTTCCGTTAAAAACTCTAATTCAAAAATTGTTACGATCGCAATACTTTCCCTTACTCTATATTACATATATACATAAGTGCAAGTAATAACCATTCAATAATCAGGAAAAAAAAGTTGAAATTTTAAGCGCAACTTGAGAAAATAGTAGTGGTAATTCATTCTAACTAATGCAAAGGTTGATCATAATCTGACCATGAAATTCTGACCTTGATCCGGCTGTATTTTGGTATTAACAAAAACAATATCTCCTACGTGTCTCGAACCCGGGACCATTCCATTCCTTCGAGATATTCCTAGCTAACTTAGCCAATGATCGCTCTGGATCCTAAAGTTTAATGGCGCATGGCGACCTGACTGGCTTTCATAGAATGATAACACCACGATTTTGACACATGCATTTTTTAATGCTGTCTTTGTCAACGCTGACACTCGAAACTGGTTCTGTACTTTCCGATTTTCCAATTGATTTAACAATTGAAACAAATTCTGAAATGATTGACTGAACTTTTGTCTTGGTAATTTTATATATTATCTGATTGCGGGACACTTTTTGTAACTTTTGTACCACGCATGAAACTACTGCTAGTTGAATACCAGATTGAATGTGTGGAACCAATAGTCTCTATCAGACCCAATCGAGGGAGGAGTGAACGAACGGGATAACGCGTGTGCACTGCCCCGCGCTTTGCAGGCAGCCTGATAACCGAAGTTTATAGGGGAAAATCGTGCCCCGGTGCTGGTGAGAGCTTCTAACTCAGTCATTAATCCTCCACCCCCACCTCTTAGCCCCAAAAAAAAACCGTATAGCCTAAAAGGTGAGGAAGGGGAGAACAAAAATATATGACCAATACAAAGAAATGAATTTGCTTTGTTCTACTACTAGCGATAAGATTAACTATCGTGCAAAATATGATAGTACGACAATGATTAATATCAAGACAGCCAATATCATACCAGGATTCGGGTAAAAATTATAATAATTATTGGGTGATAACTATACAGGACGCAGTCTTTTTAAAAAAAAAAATATTTTTTTAATCTTTGCCAACGTTTCAACCCAAACATGTGGGTCATCTTCCGGGCGTGGTTCGAGCACTAAATGCTTTCAAGTACTAAATAAAAAAAAAAATTTACAGGACTACGTCCTGAATAGTTATCACCCATGATATGTAGAACAGTCGACTAACTTTCTTCTATAATAATTATTAATTTAAAATATAGTATTTAAAATACCAAGTATTTTTTTTTAAATACTGAGCATTTTAACTACGAGTAATTTAACATTAAGTCGTTTAAAAACAATTTTATTCTAGGAAAGAAAAAAGTTGCGAAATTAAAACATACTGGATATAATTCTTCTTTCTTCTTTCATTTAAACAACAATTGATTTATGTGTAGTATTTCCAAATTACTTGTTTACATGTTAACGTTTCGGAATATTTACTCCCATCTTCAGAACTATAATCCCAATGTTTCTTTTTTCTTGTTAATATTGTTGTTAAATGTTCATTTTTTATGTAGCTACAATTTCATTTTTATTAAATTTTAATTTTGTTTAATATATCAGCATAATGTGTCCCCAAATGTGTAGTGTCTGTTTTATGATTTACTGTTGTTCTATTGTTTTTTGTGATGTGCATGTAATTTTCTATTGTTGTTTTTTGCTTCTGTGAATAATATCTGTGGTTTACTGAAGTTGAATTTATGTTGCAATTTTATGCTGTGATGTGCTAAAGCTGTTGTGTTTATGTTTTTTTTATTTTTACAGTTAATAATGTGTTGTTAAAATCTGGAAATTGTTTGGAAGTTTCTCCAATGTAGATTTTGAGGCAATTTCGACAATATAATTTATAAATTACATTTTTCTTGTTTATTAAGTTTTCTTGTTTTATCTTTTGTATTCGTAACGTGCCTGCTCAGTTTTTATTATTATATTGCCCAATCTTGATTTCTGTTATGTCATAATTTTTTAACACGCCTTTAATTTTGTTAATAACTTCAGGTATGTATGTCATTTTTTATTAGTAGTTAAAGTTCATTTTGTTTTTGTTTGACATGTTGTCCTGATTGTTCTCATGTGTTGAATTTGTTTTTTTCAAAAACTTGGGTGATGAATTGTTGTGTAGGTTTTTTTATTGTAATGTTTTCACTGGATATACTTTAAAAATAGAGAATAAATTATTTCAATCTTTAAAAATTATTTCTAAAGATGCTATCAATTGTCCCCCCCATTGTCCGTCATTTTGTATTCAAGCGACTATAAGATGGCAGATGAGCATTCTTATTTTCGAGCCTGTAAACAAGGTCAATTTATATGGCCAAACCTTATAGTATGAAATGTCACCTTTTTTGACACGAGCTACCGAATTAATAGGTTTTTTATCGATGATCAAAACATCACAACGCGGATCTTAGGACGATAATGGCCGAACACAATAGATAAGCCGAGGTACAATAGAACTGACCGGGATAATGGCCAGGGGGAGCAGTTCCTGGGGTCCGGCCTTCGGGGGCTCGGCGGAGGGGCCTTCCTGCAGGAAGTCCTGTCCGTGCTTCTCGAGCAAGGACACTCCAGTCAACAGGAAACAAGAACGATCCTTAGAGGAGAGTGCGAAATCAACGGGGGCTGTTGCACGCAATGTGCGTCAAGGCCGCGTTCCTTGCTCCATACCATCCTGTCGTACATGGTCTCTATTTTTATTTTAATATAATAACATAATGTCGTATATAAATATATATATATATATATATATATATATATATATATATATATATATATATATATATATATATATATATATATATATATATATATGAAAGCTAAATAGCTATGTGAAGAAGGCATTGTGTAACCTATACTTAGATGCTTATTTTAGTTTTACTAACAGGGTAATACATAGAGAAAAATTCTATACTGTCTAAAATATGTATAAATGTGTCCTTTGGGATTTCAAATACACTGTTCAAATACACTGTTCAAATACACTGTCTGTTTTCAAGAGATTTGAAAGCATCTTAATGTTACTTTGCATTACCATCAGATCTACCATTTCGAGATAGCATTAGCACAAAACAGCTGTGTATATATTATTATTATTTCAATGAAACTTGGCTAAATTCTTTACCTTGAAGCCTTTCTAATAATTTATGACTGTAACGATGGATTCATATTTTTATTTCCAAATAACTCAAAAATAGGCACAGTACTGTTTTGTATTTAAGTACAGAGAGAAGTGTGTGTTCTTAAATATGAAATGATGAAATGTATTAGAGTAGTAAACATATTCTTTTATGTTGATACCTTCTTATTAATTTTATAAGTTTATACCTAAACATTATTATTTAACTTCTAATTTTTCTGAAACTTGCCTGTATTATAGGGAGAAATTTTTAATGGAGAAAATTATTCTAAATTTTTGTTTAAAGATTTCCACATTCAATTTTTGAAAGTTACGGTTGGGGAAGAGATTAATATTATTATATTTTTTTTTTTTTGGTAAAAGAAGGCACTTCTTATTTTAGTAAATTATTTATTTATTTTCTTTTTACCGAAGTTTTGAACTCCAGACTCTTCTTCAAGGACAGTTTATTCCGGTCGATGTCCAAAAAGTTCATCCGGTTGATCTCCAAAGTGACATTTCATAATTTTAAATATTTAAGAAATTTCATGAATTTTTCCTTTACGAAATCAGAAAATTGTACTCTTAGAAGAAGAGGATACAGTCTGTGGTTCACAGATTCTTTTGGTGATACAACATCAAAAAATATTAGACATATATCCCGGAATCCTTTCCAATGGGCCCTAGGAGCAGAGAAAAAAAAATTTGGTATAATTTCAAACACAATACAGGTTTTTATTTTGTTTGCCTTTGCTCTGTCCGGACAAAAAATAAATAAATAAAAATAAATAAATAAAAAAAAAATAAATAAAAAAAACGCTTCCAGTAAAGTAAGGCAAGTAAATTTTTGTTATGAAAAAGCGAATTACATTCCTTTTTAGGTCCCTTTAAAATTCTTAAATACGAATTATTAATTAATTAAACAAATACAATCTTTAGTACCGTTGCTGAATTAATGCTGAACCGTTGCTGAATTAATGCTCTTCCAACTGACACTAATAATTTTTAGATTTTTTTTTCAAGTCCAAAATTAAGAAAACACTTTTATTATTATAAAAAAAACTTTTTTTTGTTTATATCTTTGGTTATATTTTTTAACAAATTGGGGGTATATACCATTTCGTGTGTAAAAATTATTTATTTTTGGTT